GAGTTCGGCACGATTACCTTTGTATTCATTCTTGCAACAGGAAATGAATTCTTCTCTATCCAATTCATTAGACTTTAATCGAAGAAGACAATCGATGAGTGATTGAGAAAAAACAAATTGACCATTGATTGTTGTTGTTGATTTTTCTGCATCACTACTTGTAGTAAACATGCTCATTGACAGTGGTTCTTGCATCTTCATCGGGTTCTTGTGATCTACTTCAATTTGTGAGACCAATTCATCAGATTGAGTAGCAACACCCTTCACCTAAAAAGGACAAAACGACATGACTGAAATTTGTTAGAATAACTTTACCTTTGAAAATTTACATCCCCATTTCTCATCACTCTCTTTGTCATTGGAATAGATGTAAACGGCTGAGATTTGTCGAAATTGATGAATAGCAGGTAGTATTTGTCGGCTCAACTGACCATTAACAATGAGGATTAGTCGATCCTGTGTTGATGTGTGTCTTATGTAGGTCTTGCACTCCTCTGCATCATGAAATTTTTTTATATCGGGTGTGGGTGTGGTTGTGTGGGTGTATATGAGGAGAAGACAACACTCACACCCACATCCACACCACCCACACCCACACCCACATCCACACCCACACCCACACCCACCCACCCACCCACACCAACCCCCACCCCCCCACCCCCACCCCCACCCCCACCCCCACACCCACACCCCACACCCACACCCACACACCCACACCCACACACCCACCCCACACACCCACACCCATTCCGGGACGGGAACTGGTTCCCGAATGTTGAACATCGCGGAATGGGATGTATTCTGTCGGAGGAAACAGCTATTTATCCTATTGTTACACCATTGGTCAAAGTGTCGCAGATGGTGGAACTTCCAGTAAATGGTATCGACTTAATTTGCGTGCTGGTGGCTATGGTTATGCGAGTGGTCTCTACTGTTCGGGCAATGTTGGCCGTTGTTAATATTACCATGGTTAGCTTGAACTTGATTCATGTCTGCTTTTGTGTTTTTTTTTCAAATATATATTTCTTAATCGAGAAAAAATTCTCTTAAATAAGCGTTTGCGTCCGAATCAAGATCACTAATATACAAAGAAATGATCCTGGTACGCTTTTTGTAGAAATTCTCATCTTGTATATTGTACACTACTTTTGAATTATGTTGTAATTCATATAATTCGTACATGAAGAAGTTTATTTTGTTTTGTTGTCATGCATACAACTCTAAGCTGTACTTTCCCTTCTACTTTCATCTTTTTATTTTCTCAAGAAAAAAAAGAAACTATACATACTGTTTTGGTTTGATAAAATCGAGAAAGGAAAGTGATTGTATTGTGTCATATTCGTTCAATTTTTATTCTAACAAATATTGTGTCTAATATATTCATTTTCTTTCAGTCATGATTTCCTCATTAAATATCCTCGTAATTATAAATGTATTGGTGTTCTTTTTGTATCGTTGATCAATTTTTCACTTTATGTATGAATAAGAATATGAGCAGCGGAAAGTTTTATCGGGTGTCCAGAAAGTAACTAAACAAAGAAAAGTTTGATTACACATCTCTCCCCATATTTTGACCAAATGTGTCTCTATCAACAGTACAAATATCAGCTCCTTTGGTCAAACGATGGGACAGATTATTCAATTTCTTCTACGATCAACGAGCTTTTGGACCACTCTATAGTGAGTTGGTGGGGGTGTGAGTGTATCATTCTCCTCCTTTAACACTCACACCCATTGACACTCATATCCGCATGCAGTTACAATTCTGATTGCATATGTAATAATAAGAGATTAAAAAAAAAAGAAAAATCTACCTTCAAGAGATAAGCAGAAGAAATGTGGAAAAATACGGCTTTGATGTGGTATAATACGCTGTGAAATACCTCATTAGGTATTCAATCAATGAAAGTGCAAACCAGAAGTAAATTCCATTTTAAAACTACTCATTTTACAATATTTATGTAAGTATTTATCTTTCTTCATCGTAGTCGAAAGAGCTTTCATGGCAAACACAAATCTTAGTGTTATTGCAAAAGATCTCTTTCATTCCTGTTTGCTTTGTTTTTTTTAAATCAATATATTTGCAGAGAAAAAATAATACACATGAAATATGGGAATATCAAATGAAATCAGAAAGACAATGTTAACTTTTGATCTGAGAGATGTTCACTTGATGAATTGTATGTGATTCGTGTGAACATTTCACAAAAAAACTTCAACAATGATGTGCAAGGCTTTTTCCATTTTTTTTTTCAAGATTTAGAGAAAATAAAGAGTAACTATAATACACCTTTCGTCACCATTTAAAAACGGCAAAATATGTTTTTTTGTGTATGTCATATGAGTCATCGGCGAACATCATAGAAAGAAATTACTTCATGCACATTCATTCTTTTTCGTTACATTCTTGCGCACGATGACGATGTTATTGCATATATCTATGTAAGTACTTCCCTCCGTCGCCTATTTAACAATCCAATAAGAGTAGACAACTCCAGAATTTCATTTGTTTCTTCACTGCTGTCACTTGGTTTTTTTTCCTCGATTTTTAAGATAATTCAAAGTCGAGTTTATATGTAGTATGGTTCTATGAAAATTGCCACAGTTGAGGATTATGTCAATCCTATTAAGCTGTTCGTGACAGTAAGTAATTAGGAGTTGTAGAAGCAATGGTAGGATTCTGTGGTGAGATCTACGCACTGTAAAGGTTGTTTTTCACGATATCTTTGTGTCATCAGTAGATTTCGAATGACTTTCATCATAGTTCTTTGACTTCTTTGCAGCTACCATGATTTACAAAGATTTTGACTACAGTTCTTTGTAAGTAGGGATATAACAGCAAAATCTTATGATTTATATAGAAAACTTATGAAAATAATAGAGAAAATATCTTAATCGATTTTAAGACAATATGAATCATTGTAGTTAATTTACTTTCAGTTGTATTGTTATACTAGTTGTAAATTAGCATATAACTAAGACGAAGACTCGTATGATTTTGATCTTGAGAATGCTAAAACTACTAGAACATGTTTCTCAAAGACCAGAATACAATAACAAAGTTGCTCTAGCTATTAGGCTGAAAATGAACATTCCTTAGCGGAGGAAGTCCTAAAATCTATTGAAAATCACAAAGCATAAGTAAATTATCATTGGCAATTTTTCTTTAGTTGACAGGACGGATCATCCAATAGTAATCAGTGAAGATAAAGCTCATGTTAGTTGAAATAATCAATATTTAATTACTTCAGACAAGTCGAAACCTATAGTTCAGAACACCAAGTTTGTGCTCTTTCGAAATATGGGCTAAAAATTCTGTGTCAGTTTTTATTCGATGGTAACAAAAGAATGCCTGGAGCACCTGATAGAACAAAATCTGTCCTAAAAAATGTACAGGTTCAATTTTTTTAACTATTAAGTAAGACACCTCAAACTTTTGTTGCTCCTTCATTGTCATTTTTGAGAAACGGACTTGTTGATGAAACATGTTTCACACACTAAGGAGCTGCTAACAAAATACATATAACTTCAATTATATGAAAGCTACATCTTAATTCAATGTCACATTTTGTGAAGAATTATATGCTCTACGAAACTCTATTGTCGAATAAGTGTTAGTATCTTCTTAAACGGACAGACAAAGTTTTCAAGTGTGCCACAAATGAGCAAACATTATCGTTCGAAAACTCTCGGTGAACCTATTGTTTTCCATTGAACTTTTTCTCAGATCATATTATACTAAAATTCCCTCTATTACTATTGAAGTAAAGATCAAAGAATGTTGTTCTGTTTGTTCGAATAAACAGCATATATCAGTATATCTACCTGAATGTTAGTCAAAAGATTTCTGATTAGTCACGCTCAACGTAAGACAATGCAACATGTTTATAAATACATCATCAATTTTAAACATTATAGTTATTGTATGCAAACAGCAGTTTGCACTGGATTCATTTATCATCTTCTGTTATTTCAGATAATTACTCGCTGACAGAGATGGCTAATGCATCAGCCGCTGCTATCGATCCGACAGTAATGACTTCGTTTGTTTATGAAGACTTAATTCTTCACATTCAAGCAATTCAATCTCAAATTATTGAAATGAACAAATTTCTCGATGATCGATGGAAAAATGACAAGAAAATCAACAATGATGTAAAATCACGATCATTTACATTCATTGATCTATATGGAAATTCAACAGTTCATAAGTATATGGATCATGAACAGATTAGTACAGTATTTAAAAAGTATAAGAAAGAATATGTACCAAAATATTTACAACAATGGACCAAACTTGGCAAAATGAATGACGATGGTATCTTGCCATTGAATGATTGTGAACTGAAATCAACTGTATCCGAATATCCAGATGGTTGTCAATTCGTTTCCTATGGTGAAGTAATTGTTTGGATAGGAGTTGATGAACGTTTCTCGTCTCAGCCATTGATACTACCGGTTCGTCTAATGGATAATATGGAGAAGATCAAGATGCAATTAAAAAATCGACCAAGAATTACAGATATAGAACTCAAATCATCGATAATAAATTCAAATACACGACCGAATCAAGAAAGTTGGAATGAAGGTAGAATACTAAAATCTAATGATACAATTATTTCATCGCAATTATATCAGGAAAATTGTATCATCATGGCAAAACTTATCAAAGCTAAAGTAAACTATAATTTTCTTTCTCTATTTAATTTTACATAAAAATGTTATTCTTTCCTATAGTTTAATACTACAGATTCACTTCCTACTTTCCAAATATTTGTGAAAACTCTTACAGGCAAAGCTATTACTATAACAGTGAATTCTGAAATGAATATGACTACTGTGAAAGAATTAGTAGAAGATATGGAAGGTATTTGCCCTGATCAACAGCGTTTAATATTTGCTGGCAAGCAACTAGAAGATGACAGAACTCTTTCGGACTATAATATACAGAAAGAATCGACAATATCTATGGTATTACGTTTACGTGGTGGAATGTATCATTTTACTAGTGGTCGACAAGATTTCAAGGGTTTACCATATGATGGTGCTGAAGCAATCAGAAAAGTACTTGCATTTGAGTTTAAAGATATGGATAATGCGAGCAGTTTGTTACCAATCGAATTACAAAATACTGTTTTACAAGCACAAACTGTTCTTTCAAATTTATATCGTACAACTAGAAAATATTCAATATCGAATGATGTTCCAAATTTGAAGAATATCATACTTCCTGCAACTATCGATAATGAGGATCATGATGATGATGATGATGATAATGTTTTAAATGATCAATAACAATCATCTATTCAACACCAATTACGAGTGTATCGATTATTAGAACATGATGTACTTAAAGATTTACTTATCAAAGAAGAACAACTAAGACTTAGTCCAGAAACTCAACAATTATTATCAAGTATTGAAGATCGAAAAGATATAGATTGGATGGATGTTATTGCTGATTTACAAACAAAACTTATCAAAGAAACGATTGGTGATGATGCTACAGACGATGAAATTCAACATGGTTTGAGGTAAATATGTATCACATTTCGGATTCATACTATTATCGATCCATGTTGAACGATTTTATTTGTAGAATATTGCGAAGTGCTCATCAATTATATGATAATGATGAATTTCATAGTTTATCTCTTTATGTTCGACATAATCGTGCACAAAAAGGAAATTTTCACATTGGTGATCAACCTATTGATATTGAATTATTAAATATGCAGAATGAATTTGTTTCTTTATTATCTTATTTTCATTCGAATCGACCATTCTTAATCATTGCTGGTTCATATACATGACCACCATTTCGTGGTCTTGTACCACAATTGAATCAACTAATGGATATGTATCAAGATCATGTTGATATGGCGACTGTTTATATTGAAGAAGCTCATGCAGCTGATGAATGGTAAGTTAACAAAGAAGATATTATTTCGAGATGAGAATAAATGATTGTGTGTGATAGGCCAATAGGTAGTCGAATATGTTATGTTCAACCAAAAACAGATGCTGATCGAATTGCTATTGCAAATGATTTTATCCAAACAACAGGATATCGTCTACCATTATTGATCGATCCAATATCTCGAAATAATCCATTTAATCAAGTGTATAGTTCATGGCCGATACGATTTTATGTCATAGATGGAACGAAGAAGTTCAGTTACATAGCTTACCCAATAGAAGGTTCATTTCCATTAGAATTGATTAAAAATGCACTCGATCAAGCTTTTCAACAATGTCAATAAGAAGTTTTTTGTTTTGTAAGAAATGATGATAATGACATGTTATTACGATATGTAAAGTGTACAATGATGTTTTACGTTGAAAGTATAATTATTATACAGACGAAAAACTGATGTATCAAATTCATTTCATATCATAATCATATAAATTATCACGTATATCTTATTCTTTATTTTTTGGATATTTCTTTCATTTATTTCACAAAATAAACTAGAATTTTTGTTCAATATATATTGTTGCTCTTGTTACTACAGTAGTTTGTTGAAATTTCTTATTTATGCAATTTTTACCGATGCCACGAAAAAGACAGGAACTGTTTTTTTCTCGATAAAAGATATCTGCTGAATTGAGTACTCATTTACACGAGGGATGCTTTTATCAAAATGTCAGATTGAACGACCTGGGGGTAGATGGGTAAATGGGGTGAGGATGAAGAGAAGATAATTACCCTCATCCACCCACCCTTCCTCAAGATAGATAGTGATTTCTTTTCTGATAAAACTGATCATTTTTGCTATACATTAAGCTTGAAAGCATGCTGATTCTCTAAAAAGTTTTGAACTATTCAAAGTTTATTGTTATTCAATTGTAATTTAAGAAAATTGAATCATTTAAAATCATTGTAAAAGATGCTCAATCACTATTAAAAAACAATTTCCGCACGTTTTTCTCATAGCTACTGTTTTTGTCTCTTTTTGCATAAATTTTCTGAGATCAACTTTACATCTGAACCGACTATTTAGGGTGGATGTAGGTGATCATCTGCCGACCTTCACCCTCAACGGTATTGCTATACGTCCATAGGATCATCCTTTTCATCCGACGACAGTAACAATGGCGACGAACAGTGATTGCTACAGAACTAGTAATGATTGTTTTCCATAGATGTTCATTATTTAACTTGATATACAATTCCGATGATTCTTACGGCATTTTGTTAATGCGAACGCTTACCTATAGAGTAGACTGTTAGGACCTGCCATCTACACTCTTCCCATATACATCTTCCTTGTTGTTGTTATTGTTTTTTTCTCTTCCTCATTTCTTTTCTTTTCTTTTCTTCTTGTATGTTAAGTCATACTCGACCAATTTGTTTTCTTATGCGAGGAAAAATAAGCCGAGAAGGATATTCCATGATCCTAACATATGCGGCTTCTCCTAGCGAGATTACGATCATTACATCGACAACGTAAGCATTCTATGACAGTATTCCGATGATATTCTTTGATCTTTTGACAGTATATGTATCGAAGCTACCGAATCAGTGAGCATCTGTCATGGTTAGACATCTGCTAGGTGCTATTAGTAATGTGTTTTCATCAACAACCTCATTGTGGAAGACTCATATAGACACACTGTTCACCCTAATTTTTCTGGACGGACCTCAACCTAATATGTTCCTCGGATAGTTTTAGATTTTTCACAATTCCAAAGGCAGCCTATTCAATAAGTTCTAATCCATATCGATTAAATATCATCTACATAGAAAAAATCATAAAGTTTCGTCAATAACCTTCGTACACACTATGATGTAGTCCGGCTGTCTTTTAGACTTATTTTTTTGCTTGACATTCTTACGTGTTTGCATAACTATAATGGTTGAAAATGAATTCGACTCATTAGAAACAATTTAATCAGATATTCATTCATTATCAAGGATGTCCTTGATTATGTTAGCTATGTGAACTCGTCAGAAAAGAACAGCAGAAAGTGACTACGTATCGTTATTTAGCTATATATGACTATATTAGCCAAGATCAATTCAGATGAGGTATCTTGAATGGGCTCACATTGAGAAAAACATCCATTATTTGGATAGAACTTCTATGTCTATTGATATATATGTTATGTCCTGGTAACACTTCATAAAATCCTATTCAAGATTCTCGAAATTCTAGTTAAAATCCCTTGAATAGAGATAATTTGATGCGCCTTTAGTTGCTCATTCCGATAGTGAAAAATGCATACTTATATTGTGTTGTGGTGAAAAGTTATCATATTTTTCTTCTAAACGTTCATCTTGTCGGCATTTTTCCACATTATAATAGTCATAGAAATTTAAAAGTATGTATTCTGATAGAAGAAAAGACACTCTTTCATTTGGTGCCATTTATGAAAATATCAACATTGAAAACAGTATATTTCTTTTAAGAATTCTAAAAGGTACAAAAACTTGTTTTTTTTCTGTTAGCTCAATATGATCTATTTTCAGAGAATACCTCATAACTCAACAACAATTCGTCATATAGAATTGATATCTTGGATTTAGTAATAACTCGATTCCACCTTTATTTGGAGACAATTAGGATCCAAATCAAAAAACTCATCTCTAACCATAATACCCAATTTGCTGTCAGAGTCTCTGTCTCAATTTGTGTTGTATTATATCGTCAAATCATTTTCAACTCTTAGAATTGACAAATTCTTGCGCTCTTCACAATCGTATCGAAAAATTCTTCTCTTTAGCGTCTTGTCAGTGATGAATGAAGTGACAGGGCGAGAAAAATATTCTCTTTCGTTCTGCTTATCTTCGATTTGAAGACCAAGGTAACAAAGAGGTTAAATAGACGAATTGACTGACTTATAATTACATATTTCTTTCATTCGTCCTCGCACAAATAAATCTATATGCGTATACCTAGATGAAACAATGAATCAATCCCGTACGAATCAAACTGACTTGCTCTCCAAGATTTGACTTTTTTTGATGATCGAGCGGAAAAAGAAAAGAAAAAATAAATCGACTTGCCTCATACTTGTTTCAAAGGCGACAGAACAAAATAGAACGTATTTCAACGCTCGCACTTGCCAAACAGTCAATCATCAAATAACGATGAATAATAATTTTGAAAATATTTCTTTTTCTCTATGCATGATTAAGTATCATTGTGAACAAGGACTATGAATAATATTGTAATCCACATAGAATTATTCGTTGATTCTGTCTATTTCTAGATCGATTGATTGAAAAACTACTGATCATGGCTACATCATCGAACATCAAACCTGGAAATGGTAAAATTCTCAACGAACAAGGCTAGTTCATTTAGATTTGTCTTGATGTTATTCATTGCTATTGTATTTGAATAGATATTGAGATATTGCAAAAATCGTCATTTCGCAGTGAAGAAGGTATTGATTGAACATTGTCACACCTAAATATCTCATGAATTCTGTTCTTTTATTTATTGATAGATATCAGAAAAACACACGCTGTATGTTTTAACTTATCAAAAAAATAAACTCTGCTTTTTTTTCTCTCTTTCTCTCATGGATTAGGAATTCTGGCAAGAATTTCCAGATGGAAAAATGACTAAGGAAGGATTTACCACGTATTATCAACTAATTTTCAATAATGATCAGGAATCAGGAAAAATTGCGAGTATATGATTAATAGATCTAATGATCATTGAAAGATTGATTCTTTTGTTTCTAGCGATGCATTTAACGTGTTCGACCAAAATCATGATGGTGTAATTGATTTTCCCAAATTCTTATTCATGTTAGCATGTGATTCTAATAGCAATTTGGTAAAAGAATACGGTGACTTATTTCATATGTAAGAATGGACAGATTCAGTTCTCTTGTTTGTATATTTAACTTCTCGATTTTTCAGGCGTAATATATCAGGCACCGGACAGATAGGTAGAAATGAATTGATCAATTTTCTAGACTATGTGGTATGCTATCAGATGATATGTTCACAAAATAGAGATTAAATTTGATTGATTTTAAGTTTAAAAAATCTGGTGAAATGTTCGGACCCGATACTAAAGATCCGGCAACAGTTGCCAGTGAAATATTTGGCTTGCTTGGATCGGAAGAAAATGGAACGCTGAATAAAGAGCAATTCATTCTTGGGTAAAATAGTTTGAAATGTTGTTTTTTTTGTATGACACTCGATTGTGATTTTAGATGCATAAAATATCCAATATTAGCTAGACTTTTCATTGACAAAGACGAAGAATGATCTTGAAAGAACTCACCTCAGACATATTATTATTCAGAAACCGAATATCATAATGTACTTTTACTTTGAATGTTTTAGCTTCGAAAATCTTGGTGTAGAATTATAGGAAGATTTCATTCGGAATAATTGTTTTATTTCGACAAGCTTCAATTGTAAAAATGGTGTCAAACTCATACCCAAACGATTTGTAGATTGAAGGTGGATATATAAATTTTATTGATGACTTAGGTTTCAGATTCTCTGAGTTTCATATCGATTATGAAGTACACAATAGAAATTATTTCGCATATGTATACGACAATTAAAAAAGACCCAAACAAAAAAAGTTTGGGTGTAGTGCATCCCTATAAACATCAGGGTGTGGGTTGGTGTGACTGTGGGTCTGGACATGGGTGTGAGTGTGAGTTTTCTTTACTAACACCCACACCCACCATTGTTCGGAATTCCAAAATGAATTCGATCAAGACTAATTGGCAAAGAGCTACTTCAATAACCGATCATCAGTTAATTGTCTTTCAACTTAGTTCGATCAAATATTAATGTAGAATAGTCTTAAAAATACTTCGTTGCCAATCCTTGTTTCAATAACATTGACTGCTAATGAAATCTTCTGCGTTGTCTTTTCAGAGAATGAGTTTGAAACAAAACAGAATGATTGTTTCTCTTTTCCAATTATTCGAATAATTTGAAAAACGAAGTAATCAATTCACTGAGAAGTAAGAATAGTTGATTTTCACAAAATAAACCATGATAATCTTCTCATCATCAACAGCTGGTCTGTCAATTAATTTCATGTTTTTTTTTGGTTGACTTAAGAAGATCATTTCAAACAATTACAATGACTGTGGCTATGTGATTTGATATCCAATGGAGAATTTTTTTCAAATAGATCAATACTGAAATCATCGAATATGTCAATGTATTCGTTGAAACTGTTGGCTCAATCAAGCCTAGAATGTATTCAGCAATCTTTGGTTATTTTTAGATCAAAATGTATAGAAAACGAACGAGCGTTGATATCAATCTACCTTA